GAAGTAAATCGTACAGAAGTTACCTGCCGTACACCCAATGGAGCTACCACTGAACCAGCATATCTATATGTACAAGGTCAGTATAACACATTCAATTTACTATTATTTTTTACTGAATGGGCAGTGATTGAATGCACTTAATCAATTCCAGGTCCACCTGATACTGTCAGTAGTTTAACAGGATATCAGTTAGATTCTTGTTGTATGTTTATCAGTTGGTATCCTCCATTCACACTACCAGGACTAACAGTACAGTATATAATCAGTGTAGGAACTGATCAACAGTACCTTAATGACTCTATCACTAACTACACTTACTGTCCAATGAACCCAACCAATAAACAATATCTGTTTAACATTACAACTACTAATAAAGCTGGGGATGGATCTACTAGTAACATAACTGTTGGATTTGAATCAACAAGTAAGTAATTATACTTATTGAGAGCCTAAAGTGATTATTCTATACAGTAGATGTAGAGTTATATGTAACTGATAAGGAAAGAGGGAATGTAAATTGGACTTTTCATTTCATTGTATTTGTAAGCTACCATGCATAGAGTAGATGTTGTTTGTTTTAGCTGTAGTGCTATTAATGTTTATTCTGATGGTAAGAACAATAGTGTAATGCAGTTATGCTTACTTTCCTATAGGTTCATCAGTTTTGTACTAATGTACCACCACTAATGAACATTACATTGAAAGGATGTACTAAGGATAACTGTTATTCAACAACAAATGTATTCATAAGCAATAGTTCTTATAGTAACATTTCACTTGTTGTTCAATTTCCATCAAATAAGACACTCAATACTAATGCTACCTTGTACTATCAAAATGGAGTTACAGTTCAAAGCAACACAATAACAATCAGTAAGTAATACACAATTAATACATTATGATATTTACTTATTTTAAGGTACTCATGATCTGAACTTGACATTGATTAATGTTTCATCAAATTCTGTTTGTATTCAGTTTCAGTTTGTCGATGGCAGTACACTTTATATTGATTACATTCACATTATTGATAGTCAAGGCTGGTTTCATTGGGATGACCTCAAACCTTTTAATGATTCATTGAACTTTATTAAGTGTTTTGATGGCATACCAGCTGGTAATAACTTAACACTGCATGCATGTGAATTCGAAAGCTTTTTCGAGAACTATAAACCTAATTGTCCTGCTGTAATAACTGGTATTAATATTACTAATGACTCTACATCTTCAGTTCTAATGTCATCAGTTCATTCTTCAGTCCCAACTACTTCAGGCGTATCAGCTACTTCATCAGTATCAAGGTTCCCATGGGCCAGCATAAGTAGTAGCATAGATGCTTGTAAGTGTAAATTTTTTTGTGTAGTTGTAATATAGATCTACTTTAATGTCTTTGCTTCATATCATTGTTATCAATTTTGTCCATAGCTTCTTCATTCCTCATTTCTTTATCGTTCGTATCATCAAGTAGTATGGCCACAGACTGCACGATATGTTCTACAGTTACTGCAACAAGAGATGATTGTTTTAATTCCTGCACTAATTCACCAGTATTGAATACTATATTAGGTGTATTCCTCATACTATCACTAATAATTAATATTATTACATTAACTGTGTGTTACTGCAAAAGGAAAGGGAAGAATGGTCAAAGTATGTTAATTAATGTTAAAGATTTACTATGATGAATTGTATTACAGGTTCACAAGAGCAAGAACTATCATCAGTTGATCCACAGTATGAGAATCTACATCTACCAGTTCCACATTCAGAACTATCAATGAAAGAATGTGCTGCTTATGGTGTAGTGGAGGGATCAACTACAAAACTTTAACTTTGAAACTTTTTGTGTGATAACATTACAGTTGAACCAAAAAATTTTTTTGCAAAACAATAAAAAATTTTAAGTTGTAGAGTAGGTGTGGTTATGTTAGAATTTTAAAATGGCGGAAGATTTGGCTTTATTCTCTTCACTATTTCAAGGAGCCTTTCCAGGTCTGTGAGTGCTCTACCTATCAGATAAATGAATATTTTAATTTTTAGAGGAATGGAAAAGAGATCCTGAATTTGTGAGATACCTTTCAGAATTAACTTCATTCTCTATCAAACGACTCGGTGAGGAGTTACTGTTAATATTAAAATTTAAAGTCTTATTCCAGCACGGGAACCAGACCTGATCAAAGAGGAACAGGAATGCGTCTTGAACTCAACACAAAATCTTGCATTCAATAATTACAAGACATTTATACAGACTGCCGAATGTTCTAGAGAAGTATTTCGAGAGGTGCGACATTATTAAAATTATAACAGTTAGTTAACCATCATTTTATTAATAGTTTATTGCAGTTGAAGACCACGTCAATAAATTAATTGATAAATTACCGAATTTCTCCTCCTCTTGTAAGCAGTTTGGCAAAGACGCTCAAGATATAAGCAGCAAGTCGGCCATTATTATTGCATTTAAATAAAAATTATTAATATTAATTTTTAAAATATTTTTAGACGCAAACTCAATTCCCTAGCTCTATCAAGACACACCCAGTTATTGGAGATACTAGAGATACCACAATTAATGGAGACATGTGTACGTAATGGCTATTATGAGGAGGCACTGGAACTGAGTTCACACGTGAAAAGAATGGAAAAGAAACACAACAACATACCTATTATTAAAGTACCGTCTCTATTTATAGTATCACGATCATTGCATAGTTCTGTTACTATTTTTAGAATATTGCGTCTGATATAGAGCGCTGCTCTAATCTGATGCTAATGGAGTTGATCCAGCAGTTGCAAGGAAGCATACAGCTACCGTCTTGTCTCAGGTTGGTCGGTTTGCTGAGGAGGATGGATGTTTTCAACGAATCTCAATTGAGACTCAAGTTTCTACAGGTTAGTGGGTCTTCGTATGTTTCTTTGGTAACCAAATGTATATATACTAGTCGAGGGATTACTGGTTACAGTCAGTCCTGTCTTCAATACCTAAGGATGATCGTAAGTAGTCTCCTAATTTTTATTATATTTCTGATACATATTGATGTACTTATGCTATTTAGAAAGTTTGAGCTGATTCCAAGCTCAAATTTTTTAGTTGTGGCCATTTTTTTTAATGAGCCAAAATCTGAAAAAATCCCTGTACTATAGCCCATGGTTTTTTCCGAAAAATGGCTTCGAAATGACCCCCAATTTTTATTACATTTTCTGATACATATTGATGTACTTATGCTATGTAGAAAGTTTGAGCTAATTCCGAGCTCAAATTTTTGAGTTGCGGCCATTTTTTAAAATGAGCCAAAATCTGAAAAAATCCCTGTACTATATAGCCCATGGTTTTTTCCGAAAAATGGCTCCGGAATGACCCCCAATTTTTATTACATTTTCTGATACATATTGATGCACTTATGCTATGTAGAAAGTTTGAGCTGATTCTGAACTTAAATTTTTGAGTTGCGGCCATTTTTTTAAATGAGCCAAAATCTGAAAAAATCCCTGTACTATAGCCAATGGTTTTTTCTGAAAAATGGCTCCAAAATGACCCCCAATTTTTATTACATTTTCTGATACATATTGATGTACTTATACTGTGTAGAAAGTTTGAGCTGATTCCGAGCTTAAATTTTTGAGTTGCGGCCATTTTTTTAAATGAGCCAAAATCTGAAAAAATCTCTGTACTATAGCCCATGGTTTTTTTCCGAAAAATGGCTCTGGAATGACCCCCAATTTTTATTACATTTTCTGATACATATTGATGTACTTATGCTTGCATTTCCTCTCTCTCTCCCTTCTCTCTCAGCTTATATGCACATCAGTAAAACCATTGAGGCTTGCCGTGTTCACTTGTTTGACATTGTCACTCAATACAAAGCCATATTCCCTGATGATGACACCATGTTACTCAGCACTCATAGCAGCTACACTGGAAAACAAGCAGATGGAACACTCTTCTGTGGCTGGTTAAACAGCAAAGTAAAGAAATATTATTATTAATAAATAATTTATGCATAAAAACATTTCTTTCTTTTATATAACTCCCTCCCATTAGATATGGCAGTTTCTACAGTTGCTTGAATCTGATCTGTTGAAAGGTGTTGGAGGTCGTATTGACTCGTTGCTCAGTCAGTGCATGTACTTTGGTCTCTCCTTCAGTCGGGTCGGAGCCGACTTTAGGTTCCTCATTGTCCCAGTTTTCATACGAGTCTCTCTCCAGTCATTCCAGCACTCTGTGAGGAATGCTAAACACAGGTGAGGAGTTAGAGACTGATTTTACATACACGTAATTATTATTATTATTATTATTTTTTTTTTCCAAAATAGTTTTCATGAAGCCATGAAACACTTCACTCTCTCCCAGCCTCTACCGCTACTCTCCTCCACGTCTCCCCTCTCCTCTCTCTCTCCTCTCTCTCCCCCTCACTCTCTCCTTCCCTATCAACCTATTGTTCTACTCACTAATTCTCTCATTTTGGCTTTCAATGATCTTCGTTCATGTGCCCCGATTGCGCTAGCCCCTGAAGTGAGTCGAGAGGTGGAGAGACTGCTACAAAGTACAGTACATGATATTGGAGAATATTATAAGTAAGTTATGGGCTTTGTAATGTCACCAATAGATATACAATACATGTACATATACATGTACTTATCATCATTATTTGTGTAATGGTAAACAATAGTAAATTACCTTATTGTGGACAAACTGACATTTTAAATAGTTTGTGTAATTTTTCTCTCACTTTCTTGCTCTCTCTCTCTCTCTCTCTTTCTCAAGGCTAGAAAATGGTTCTTTCACACAGACAGAGTTCAAGGCATTCCAGCAGCTCTGTAAAGCAGTTGCTTTTGATTTCCTTCCCTACATTGAGCGGTGTCTCTCGACACTTTATCCCGAGGAATCGGTTCAAACGATTGCCTCTCGTAGCTCACTCTCTCTCAGAAAAAGAAGAGAAGAAGAGGGAGGAGAAGGGAAGTCCCTATCATCATCATCATCACGGCAGCGAGTGCTTGTTAAAGTCGGGATAAATGCTAAGAGTTTGGCGGAGCCTCTTAGAGATATAGTCCCTGAAGTATTTGAAGAGCATGAGAAAGAAGAAATGGCAAAATCTGTTGCTAAGTTATTGTCCGATACAACGACACCTACAATTGATTTGTCTGCTCCCACAATTGATTCAACTATATCCACTGATGATTCATCTACCACTGAAGTTCCTCCTCCCACTATTGAGCAACCCGCTACTGAAGAACCGACTGAGAAACCCACTGAAGAACCTTTTGAAGGACTTACTGAAGGAGAGCCAGCAGTATTGGGAGGTGTTGAAGGTTCTCCTCCAGAAGAAACCCGCGATTCTGCTGAAGAAGATAGTATGTAGTTTATAAGTGATTTTATTATCTTTAAAAATTAAAAATAATAGCTCATTAATTTTTTTTGCAAAATCTAAGGACGCGACGCTAATTATCACGCTATTTGCGAGCGGTCATCGTTGTAAAGACGCTGTTATTTTCTCTGGTTTTGACGTTCATATTTTAAGAGAAAATGGGTGCTATCTTAAATTCTGTCTGCCCTGCTGTCGAGCAATCAGCTACTGGATGGGAGCCACTGCCAGATTTGAAGGCTTACTATAAGAATAGGATATTTAATTTTCACGTATGCCTTTGGTCCCTGTTCATCATGATGCTAACATTCACTTTCATGAACATGCTTCAACTCTTATGGAAGAAATATCGGGAAATGGAGGAGGAAAATCAATTCTACTGGTGCCATTACTTCACAAACGTGGTATTCACAGTAACCATCGGACCACTTGCATTACTAGCCATTCTGAAAGATGACTACATCTCATCTGATATCATACACAACTCTACATTCTTCTCCATGTTCCTCCTCAGTATTGGGATAGGCTACGTCGTGTATGATATCATTGTTCAAGTGATCCTCTGCATATTTACAAACGACTGCAACCTCACTTGCTTATTCTTTGATATAACTAATGGCATCGTCTTCATTCAGATGATCTGCTACGGTTATGGGCATTTTCTTGGTTGTGTCCTCCTTCTCTTGCACTGCACTTTGGGATTTGATGGGCTAGCGTACATGTCGGAAGATTTTACATTTGAATACAGCAAACAGTATCATGAGTTTGTGTCGACTTTCTATCAGCCGTCAATATATTTGAATATATACAGTCCTTTGATCGGAGGCTATTGTCTGGTGGTCACTTTTCAGCAGTGGAGCATTATCTCTCAAAATATATGTCCCCTGTTGATTTTCATTTACGCTTTAGTCCTAATCGAAAAATTTATAAAGCCTATGATCTATGCACGTGTCAATATTGAAAAATTTGTGAAAGCTTTATATCGGGAAAAGAACCAAAGTTCCTTGTCATGGGTTCCTAGAGACTAATGATAAGAAAAAGATGAAAAAATTATGGTACATCATTTTGTGTTGATTTTAATGTTATATTTTTGATTGGGTAGGTCAAAGAAGACCATCTTTAATTGTAGTATATATGACAATTCTTCTTCAACCCTTTCTTCTGTATTCATACTCAATCACTCTCTCAATCATTGGAAACTAATAATAAATAACTATTATTATTAAAAATTAGAACTATCTATATAGCAGACTAGTACACATACACATAACATTATGATTATTATTCTGTGTAGTATTATTTTTAGTTCATCATTTTCTTAGTCTTAGACCAATGGTAGCTAATACTCCAAATAATAAGAACCAGGCAATAGTTATGGTGAACCCTCTCCATACAAACATATCAGCTAAACCCCATCCTAAACAACAGAGACAAACTCAAATATGCACACAATCATTAGCAACACAATGAAAAATACAATACTGTATTATTATTTTTTATCTTCTGATCAATCAATGTGGACTCACCTCTTCCCATTATTGATCTCATTGCTTCAGCTGCATAAGTTGTAGGTAGAGCATAACTGATATACCGTAAGAACTTGGGCATCCCTTCCAGTGGCCATATGATACCTACAGAAAGGCATAATAATGATAATCAATAATGTTCTTTTATTTAAAGGTAGATCTATTAGTAATTACTAGGGGCATACTCACCACTCATTAGGAGAACAGGGTAAACTGATCCGGCCATTATTTGCATTGCTGATGTTTCTTGCTGGCATAAAGAGGATATCAAGAGACCTAAACTATAATATGAAATATTCTTTCTTTAAAAATAATATACATTACCATATGCCATTCCTATAAATGAGAAAAAGTATCAATAACTAAAAGTTAATTAAGTGCATTACCTGTCAGTCCTTGCAGCATTGTCAATAACTCAACTAAAAATATACTTCTTAGATGCACCATATACACCTAAAGCATAGGAGCAATAGTAACCAGTTTGACCAGTTTTTGAAACCTGTTTCTTCCTTTACTATACCTTGAAAGCAAACCTGACCAGTATTATGAGTATAGTGCTCTGTACAAAAAGAATGATACATTGTGTGAAGATTTGGGCTAGGACCATCTCTGTCACATTGACCCCTGCTACCCACGTCCTGTCCAAGAGGCCCTCCTTTCTCTCAATGACAAAGGAGAGAGCAGTCAGACCAATGGACATACCAAATGTTATACTAGGGAATAAAGAAAAAAATTTTAAAGACACTTTAGTGTGTGTATATGCATGAGTCTTACCTGACAATCATTCCAGGTGCAACATAGTCTGTGTATGAGAGATGAAAGCCACCGTAAACTGGAGGATTGTGGACCTAAAGTGTCATTGAAATTAACTTTTTATTTGTCATCATTTGTATATTCATTCACCTGGAGTGGAGACGAAATATCTTTTTTAGAAACATTGCAATTATTAATGAAAGCTTCAAGAAAAAGCTATTATTTGAATAGATAAATAAAATATAATAATGGAGGGAAGTGGTTACCTCAGAAGCAGCTGTGGTCTTATTTTGCAATGTGTATGTCATCTGAAGATCTTAAATGAAAATAATAATAATAATAATAATATACACAGTGTAAATATGCTTCACCAGTGACATCTTCATATATTTCAATAGTGGATCCATTGATAATATCATCTGGTATGTTGTCCTGTAGAATTATCGATCCTAGTCTCTCTACCATGTCTTGAGTGAAGTTCTCTGGTATGACTATAGCCATCCATGCTTTGCCTTTCTTCACAGCATCCACGGCATCTGTCATACTATCATAATACGTCTAGAGAGAGAGAGTTTTTACAATTAGTATATGAATTATTGGTGTGTCAGTGGAAGTGCTTACAAAATCTAACGACTTGTCATCAAGTTTTGATACAAAGAGAGAGCCAAAATTATCCATATTCTCAAACGGAGTGCACTTGTCGAATATGTACTCGCCCATACCCGTTGCTTCAGAATAATCTTTAAAAATAAAAAATACAGTAATGGGTCTGGTAATACTAATATTGACATAACTGGGGTCTGGTAACATTAAAGTATGCACCTAAGGGTTCTAGTAACTAAAGGGACTTACTGATTCCTCTATCACTGTTCATTATGGCAACACTGACTCCAGAGAAATTGCCACCAATGGCTAAACAAAACAATACAATCTGAAAGGCAGGAAGAAGGAACTGGAATATGAGGAGTCCAGGGTTTCTGTAAATACGAGTGAAGTTTTTCCAGCAGAGAGCAGCAATGCTCCTTGGACGAGGTAATATGGTGGACGGATTGATAGGATCACATTCACACATTGATTTTAACACTATAGAGGGAGATAAGTGATATACATCAGGTCATATCAAAATTTTTAAAAATTTGTAAAAAATCCAAATTTGATCGGAATCACCTCAAACTTTCTACACAACATAAGTTCATGTATATGCATCAGAATAAATTATAAAAATAAAAAATTTTCTCCTAGTCATTTTTGGCAAAATTTGGCCAGCGACCCTGTACTATAGTACAGGGAGTTTGGCTCGATTTTGGAGCAACTTAAAAAATTTGTAAAAAATCAAAATTTGATCGGAATCACCTCAAACTTTCTACACAACATAAGTACATGTATATGCATTAGAATAAATTATAAAAATGGGAAATTCTC